AGTCAAAACTGGAGCCCACATCTCCTGATTCACCAAGTGTGCATGCATGGTGATCCAGGACCCTTTGTCCTCCTTCCTCCCTGAAACCCTATTGTTAAGTGCCATAGAGTCAGTTCTGGCTCTTAGCAACCCTGTGTAGGGTTTCCAAGGAGTGGCTGGTGGGTTTGAACCACTGAAGTTGTTGTTACCAGTTCAGTGCTTACCCTGACACAAAGCTGTACTCTGTCTCTTCTCATTGCTGAAACCAAATCAAACCCATCGTCAAGATCATCTGATGCACAGCAACCCCATGCGTATAGAGTAGAGCAGTTCCCTAGGGTTTTCTTGCCTGTAGACATTATCAAAGCAGATTATGAGGCCTTTCTTCCACAGTGCTGCTAGGTAGGTTTGAACCACAAACCTATACATTAGTAGTAGTCAGTTGTGAAGCACTTACACTACCCAGGGACTTACCCTCTGTGCCAAGTGAGGATTAAATGAAGGATTGAGGACTCTCATAACTTTCTCCCTAATCAAACCCATTGCCATCAAGTTGACCCTTCGTGATTCTGTAGGGCAGTGTAGAGCTGCCCCCTAGGGCCTCTTTGAAGGAAGCAGACTGACACATCTTTCTCCTGTGTGTTAAGTGCCATCGAGTCAGTGCCAACTCATAGCGACCCTGTATAGGGTTTCCAAGGAGCGACTGGTGAGTTTGAACCGCAGGCCTTGCGGTTCAAACCGACCTTGTGTTGTAGTGCTTTATACCATAGCACCACACCAGCACTTGTCTTGTGTACTGTCTGGTAAATTTGAACCACCGGTCTTTGGGTGACAGCTGAGCACAAAACTGTGCCTTCAGGACTCCTTCCCTCCTAACACACACACACACACAATTTCAATTTGTGTTAAGGGAATGTGCAGGCATATAATAAAGATATGAGTAGCTGGCTCTCCTTTATCCTTTTAGTGATGGGCTCAGCCTGCCTCCAAGGTGTGGCCCAACAACGTTATCCCCTCATCAGACCTTTTTAACTGAGATTTGCTGATGAGCGGCAGAGCTGATTGATTTAAGCTTTAAATGCTGTTGCTTCCCCCAACCTGAACCCCAGAGGACATGCCAAGCATTGTTATAACTTAAAGTGAGTCAAGAGTCAGCGGTCATCTGTGCGTCAACATGACTATGTGTACAAGGCTGTCCGGAGCCAGCAGTCAGAGAGCAGCTCATTAGACAGACCACAGAGCTAGATGGCCAGCTGTGATGGCGTTGAGACTTAAAGCAAGAAGAACAGGTGATGACTATTGCTGAGCTTGATAAGGTAAAGTATACAAGCCTTTGTGTCTTCGAATAGTATGATGGATTTCCAAGAGAGAATATTAAGGCAGGTTTTTTGTACTTTTTTTATATATAACTTAATCTGATTTTATCTGTACGCTCCAGAAGGACAAGAACAATTCTTAGGAATGTCACAAGCAATGTTAAGTAAAAAATACAGGCGAGTACATTTCTATAACAAGAAAAACTAACATGTTGTTTCAAGTCAGGATCAGAGTGACCCTTGGGGGCAGGACAAGGTAGTTGCAGTGGAAGGGATGTCTGTGGGGAACTTTCACTGGGTGCTGGTTACACAGAATGTTCAGTTTGTGAACATTTCTTTGGGCTCTGTACTTACCTAATGTGATCTTTTCCGTGTGTGCATTGCTGTTGATGTTACATGCCGTCGAGTGGGTTCCAACTCCTAGCCATCCTGTGTTAGGATTTCCAAGGAGCAGCTGATGGGTTTGAACTGCTGACCTTGTGGTTCTCAGTCTAGTGCTGAGCACCACACCAGGAATTCATGTATATTATACACTTCAATTAAAGTTTAAACATCTTTATTTATATGAGGGGGCTTCAGAAAAGTTCATGAAAAATGGAATTTAAAGAAAATGGCATTTTTCCACGAACATTTTTAATCCCCCTATTTATGTATCTTGTGGCTTACTAAGACACAAAATACCTTCATTCCATTGAATCCGTTTGAGCTGATGCCGAACTCTTTATCTAGGTGGTGGGGAAACATCTCTACCTGTAACTGTCAGATTTCTGTGGGTGAAACTTCCAGGTCATTTTTTAAATGTTAAAATGCATTGTGAATGGACTCAATGTAGACTCCTGGAATAAAGAACTATCTTATGTTAGTACAGCAAACGATTACTTACGCCTCCTGGGAGTCAGGGACCGTGCTAGCACAGTGCAGGCTGGGTACAAGGAAGAATAGGTACATTTCTCCCCAAAGGAGCTTCCAGCCTCCACCGTTAAACTGCATGGCTGAGGATGAAGAAGGGAGTCATCGCAACAGCATGCAAGAAAGATACAAAGCACCCTAGAGAGTCCCAGGAAAGAGATGCTTCTCCGAGGAAGAGGCATTTGAAGTAGATCTTAAAGGATAGGTAGGATTTTGATAAGCAGAGGTGAGTGGATGAAGACATGTGAGATTCAGACATATAAGAAAAATCTATAGATAATTCACATGCTTTATGGGAACTTGGGGTTGAAAGGTTCACTGAAAGAGGAATGGTATCTTTCCAGTACAAAATACGCCTCAAGACATAAATAAGGCCTTATACAGTGGCTACCTTGGGATCATTGCATGATTTGGGAGGCATTCAGGAACCAAAGAAAATTTCTGAAAAGTGAGTCACATCTATCAGATCTGCTGTCTCCAATGAGGTCAAAGTTCTAGCCATAATGATTAGTCACCAGTCTCCCCAAAACAAAAGAGGTTTGATGGTGACGATGGTTAAACACTCAGTTACGCACCAAAAGGTTAGCAATTCAAAGCCACCCAGAAGAATGGAAGAAAGGCCTGATGAAAGATCAGTCCTGAAAGCCCTGAAGAGCACACAGTTCTTCACTGAACACATGGGGTTGCTGTGAATCAACTGGTTTGGGGATTTTGTTTACTGTTTTTCCTGTGCAAAATAAACATTTTCCAGGTGTAATGCTTTCTTTGTTGCTGTAATTTGAACCCATTCCTGTCTGGGTCTGCTAGTGAGCCATGGCCCATAACTCCCTTTAGCTGCCTGTGGTTTTATTCTAGGATTTGAGGATGATTACTCCTCTGTACACGTATTCTGCCCTCTTGACCAGGTTAAATTCCAATTCCTGTATTCTCTGCTCCTACGCCCTGCTTCCTAGTCACATTTATTTTTGTGATGGGGCATTTATTTTTCCCCTAGCTTTTCCTATCAAGGGGGGCTTCCCAAAGTTAGTGGGAAAAAAATCATTATCTTTTCATTCTATTGTCCCATGAACTATTCAAATCCCCTCATATGATGCTCTTCTGCCAGATAAAATATGCAGTCTCTTATTCATGGCAAAATTGTGTGTGGGAAAAGAGAGGCCTAGAAATAACATGAGCAAACTTTTTTCAGTTGTGAAGGAGACTCAGCCCACTGACCTGGAGCTGTGCCCCGCTCTGCGGCTGAGATAAAACCGTGGAGAGGATGTTTTCATGTGACAAACTGTTTTTGGAGCCGGTCCACATTTGATTTTGGTTCACTCAATCAGTGTAAAGTCTTTTAATAGCTTACTAATTTTTTGTTTTGTCAGCCTAAAAACAAAGGTAACTTGTGCTTGAACATTGTCTTGTCTCGCATTCAATTTCTCTTGAGATTCTATATCAAGGCCTTATTCTAATAAATAGGTTAGCTTAACAAATAAGATGCTTCCATGTAGAATGTACACACCTTTGTTTGGAGACTGTGTTCAGAGTCTACAAAGACCTGTTTCCAGTCCCATGAGAGCACTAATAGTGGAGGGCCCTGATGTGGAAAGAGGACTCGGGTTAGGCGGGTGACTTGAATTCAGATCCTGGCTCTTCACACCTCAGCGTCTATATGTTGTACAGACATAGCGCAGGATGTGCATGGTGTGGTGCTATTGTTGTGTTTTGTCAAATGGATTCCAACTCATAGGACCCAATTAAAATGAGAAGACATGCCTTGTAGGTTGTCCTAGGCTGTAAGCACTGGTAGCATAGTGGGTTATGAGTTGGGCTGCTAACCACAAGTTCAGCAGTTTGAATCTACCAGCCAGTCCTTAGGAGAAAGATGAGGCTTTCTGCCCCTATAAAGCCTTGGAAAGCCTGTTGAGGGTCTCTCTGAGTCAGAACCAACTCCACGGCACACCACCACCACCCATCTTTATGGAAGAGATCGCCAAGTCTTTTTTCCTGTGGAGCCAGCCTTTTAGTTCACAGCTAGTGCATAGCCATTGTACCACCAAGGCCCCTGGCATGACACACAGTGTGCCTTTTTTCCTTTAAAGCAGAAGAGCCCACCCACTCACCTGAATGCCCACTGTTTTTGCAGCTCTTTTCCTTAGGTGGCCCATGAATGATTTGGCTATTTCACATGGTCTCAGTATTATCACTGTTTAACAACAACAACAACAACAAAAAGTAGAGTCATCGTGGTGTGGGGCTGCTGGTTTTCATCTGTAAACACTGTGGCTATCTTACTCAGTCATGGAGCTTTTATTCAGTTACATCTGTTTAATGATTCCACTAAGGAGATCATTTTCTTGTGTTGATGGCTACAGCTGCTGGACCTTCACTTTCTTTTTTTTTATTCTCTTTCTGCTAAATGATGAAATTCTGAACTGGACGCCTTGCCCAGGACAGTGATTCTCAGTGCATGGACCATGGCAAGCATCCCAGTTACCTGGGCGCTTTGGGAAACGAAGACTGACTGGTGACCACCTTGTACTGTTGTATTTTCTCTCTGGCAACCAACAGTGACCAGCTGAGTAGAAAATTTGGCCCCTGGGTGCCCTGGACTTAATAGTGTTCATGGATGTAGGAAGGCATTGGGCTGTCCTATGTTCACCTCGAGAGGATCAAGGGAGTTTTAATGCTGTGAATAACCTGCAGTTTGAGAGTCTGGGACTTACAGTATGTCTGTGATGTATGCGCCGATAACTATCACACTTGGGCTCTCTGATTTCAAATTGTAAAGTATTCCTTTCCTGTCTTCTTCAGGTAGAACGTCATGACATGAATACCTTAAGCCTGCCCCTGAATATACGCCGAGGCGGGTCAGACACCAACCTCAACTTTGATGTACCAGATGGCATCCTGGACTTTCACAAGGTCAAACTCAACTCAGATAGCCTGAAGCAAAAAATTTTAAAGGTAACAGAGCAGATAAAAATCGAGCAAACCTCCCGTGACGGGAACGTTGCGGAATACCTGAAACTCGTCAGCAGTGCAGACAAGCAGCAGGCTGGGCGTATCAAGCAAGTCTTTGAGAAGAAGAATCAGAAATCAGCTCACTGCATTGCCCAGCTGCAGAAGAAGTTAGAGCAATATCACAGGAAGCTCAGGGAGCTCGAGCAGAATGGAGCCTCCAGAAACACAAAGGATGCCTCCAGAGACAACCTGAAGGACGCTCTGAAAGATGCCCAGGCGAAATCGCGAACTGCCCCCCACAGCATGGAGAGCAGTAAGTCGGGCCTGCCAGGTGTGTCCCTCACTCCACCTGTGTTTGTTTTCAGTAAATCCAGGGAGTTTGCCAACTTGATCCGGAATAAATTTGGCAGCGCCGACAACATCGCTCATTTGAAAAGCTCCTTGGAGGAGTTCAGGCCCGAGGCCAGTACCAGGGCCTATGGGGGCAGCACTACCATCGTGAACAAACCCAAGTATGGCAGTGATGACGAGTGTTCGAGTGGCACATCGGGCTCCGCTGACAGTAACGGGAACCAGTCCTTTGGGGCTGGCGGGGCCAGCACGCTGGACAGCCATAGGAAGTTCACCATGATCCTGGAGGAACTGAGGGACATCAAGGACAGCCAGACACAACTGACCGAGGACATGGAGGCACTGAAGGTGCAGTTTAAGAGAGATTATGGCTTTATTTCTCAGACCCTACAAGAAGAAAGATACAGGTATTTCTAACTCATCACTGGAGACTCTATTTGAACCCTAAGTTAGTAACTACAGAGAGATTGTCTGTTTGAAAGAAATATGTTACTGGCTGTGTTTTCCATGAATATGGACATGGATCAGAAGGCATTTTGTAATGAATAGGTCTTTTCATACTTCATAATTTGCAATTTATAACTTAACTATTAAGCAAAGCCATTCTATGTGTGGCTCTGCTAGAAAACAGTATGTAGTCTAACACCGTGTGCATCAGGGAGTGCTGATTCAGAGAAGTTTTAAAAACTCAGTACATTAATCTGTCGATCTGTTTTTGATCCCCTCTATTCCTATGACAAGTAAAAGACAAATTAAATTCATTGTCCAACCAAGTAGATTTTATTTGGCATATCAATCTTGAAGTCCTTATATACTGCATTTTTTTTTTACATACTGAGTTTTGCTCATTAAACTTTTCATCCGAATTGAAATGATTCCAATAATTATTTTAAGATTAAAGCATAAATTCATATCTTGTGTGTTATATTAGTTAATTTTAAAAGTCGGACTTTTGAAAGCTGACTTTTATGTGTTTGTAGCTTTTTAATATTTTTAAATGTGTATGTCCCAAAATGAGGTGATTTTCCTCCATTTTCTCAATAAAAACATCCCCCCAAAGTTTTTTGGTCCAAATGACTATGTTAACATCTAAGATGGCTGACTAAATAGTGAAATGCCTACTGAATATTGTAGCGCTTACCTTTCAAGTTTAGCTGACATGTTGTTTTTTGTCTGCTGGGACTTTGCTATATGAATTTAGAAATGTAACTTTTCTCAAAGCTCGTATTATGGAACAATTGTTTGAAACCTTCCACATGGAACGTTGGCTTTGGTGTCTTTGTCACGTAAGAACTCTTTCCTGAGTCACTGCTTTTCCAGACTATAGTAACTTGAATTCTATCTGGATAATTTGGGATACAGTATTTTTTGGAATGCAGATTTTATACCAAGCCACAAGTTTGCATTTACATCTGTTTGGGACAGTTTTTGCTTCCATTTGTCCTGTACTTGTGATTTGCTTGTTTATGTTACCACCATGATATCATAACTGAAAACAATCATGAAATCTGGATTCAATTATTTTGCCCTCATTATTATTAATTCCATCAGGTACCCCATATAGCTAGTATTGATGGAGGTCATTGCAGGCCAATGCCTCTTCCTCAAATAGTACTTGGACATGGTGACATTTCAAATATAAGACAGATCCCTCTCCTCAGAAGGCAGAGGGGGAATGGGAATCATTTTACTTCTGTTACTGTAAGATTTGGACATTTAGACATGCCATCTGATAAGCCATCTTTATTTGTAACAAGTATAATTTTTTTTAATATCACTAAAGTTCCAATAATTGAGGAAACATATTCAGAATGAGTTGAGTGTTTGCAATGGGAAACCATGGAGCTGGCTACAGAATAGAAGTTGGTTCTAAAAGCCTGTTTCTCCCATTATGGGGTCCCTGGGGTCGGAGAGCCCTGACACTCTGGGGGTACAAGAGAGAGAAGCTGCCGCAGGGGCCAGTGGGTCCCTGCCTCGAACAAAACTGGACAGCCTGGTCTTGGGACCCTCCAGCCAGCATTAACTGGCAGGGCCTGTCCTGTGTTCACCATAGCCAGGTTAAGGGGCTAGTCTGATGTGGGTGGGAAAGCCAGATTGGGTTTACATGAAAATTCAGCCATAAGAAGAGAGTTAAGACTGCAAGTTCTTTACAGACCTTGATTTCAGGTAATCCAAAAAGTGTTTCCCATAGCTAGCCTTATCCTTTTTTTTTTTCAAACCCTTGGGTGGTGGTAGTGGTGATGGGGGTTGGGGGTGGGTGGGGGAGGGACGCAGTCTGTCAGGAGATGAAAACAAGCCAAGGGGCACTGGCAGCAGGAAGAGAAAAAAGGCTATCTGTTCTAGGATGTGCCCTTGAAGACCTCTCACATGTCACACTCAGAATCGTTCCTCTCTTTGCAAAGGTATGAACGACTGGAAGACCAGCTCCATGACCTGACTGATTTGCATCAGCACGAGACAGGCAACCTGAAACAGGAGCTGGCCAGCATTGAGGAGAAGGTGGCCTACCAGGCCTACGAGCGGTCGCGGGACATCCAGGTGCCGTTTTCCTCACATTGGCATTCACGCAGGCTCTTTTCAGGCTCCAACAAATGAAGTGAATCCCTTCTGCCCTAAAGGAGTCTGGCACATGTCTTCTCTACACCAACAGTTCTTCTTCACCATGAACTCACATTGTAGATGCTACAGAAAGAAGCTATCCTCTGCCTAACCATTTAGTAAGAATTTAGCATCTACCCTAAAGCTTTCACTTATACTCTGTCCTCCCCAGCACCACTAACATTTTTTAAAATTAGAGAATATGAGACCAGTCCTGCCTTCAGTAAACTAGCTGCCTAGCTGAGAGCCAGGAGGGCCTCCAGCCGCTCAAGATGATGGGCAGCTCGATTAGCGTGGCCCAGCCAGCTCTGCAGTATGAGATGGTCCATCACTTAGCAGACAGACGTTGGAGTCCAGTCCCAGGTCTACCATTTACTGGTTGTCAGGCCTAGAAAGCCTTGAGTCTGTCTGCTCAGCTACAAAATACATTTTCATATTCTAATCTTTATAAGAACTTCAACCATATTGTGTCTCAAGGATTCACAAAGCACTTCTCATGCCGTGGCTCCCACCCCGTTTACTTCTCACAACACCTCTATGAGGTAGTGATGTTGTTAGGTGATGTGGAGTCAGTTTCGACTCCTAGCAACCCTGTGCACACCAGAACCAAATGCTGCCCGGTCCGGTACCATGCTCACAGTTGTTGTCACACGGAACCCATTGCTGCTGCCAGTGTCGGTCCATCTCATTGGGGGTCTTTGTCTTCTTCTCTGACCCTCCATTAGTACCTGTTATTATCCCCATTTCTCACATATGGATACTGATGCACAGAGAGGTTAGTGACTTGAACAAGGTCTCACAAAAAGTCCCTGAATAACGCATGTGAAATAAATATCCTGGATAAGGTGAGACTTGAAGGGATAAATAGGGTCCCAGTGGGTGGCTTATCCTTGGATCAGTATAAAGAAAGGCATCCACCAGTATTTCCTAATTGATACTAGTGTGGTAATGAAACAAATGAGCTCTGGTAGTGGAGTGTTTACGAGTTAGCTGCTAGTCAAGGGCAGCAGTTCTAAACTACCAGCTGTTCCGCTGGAGAAAGATGAGGCTTTCTGCTCCCATAAACATTTACAGCCTCGGAAACCCTGTACAGGGTCGCTATGAGTTGGAACTGACTCCACAGCCCCTAACCACCACCAGTGAAACAACCCTGGGCTTCATGGTCACTTCTTTTATTATTTCCTAACAAAAGAATGCGATCTTCATGTAATCTCAGCTTCACTTTTACAGCTTTCTTTGTTTGTTGTTGTTGTTAAGTGTCTTTGAGTCATTTCTGACTTACAGCGACACTGTAGAGGGTTTCCAAGGAGCAGCTGGTGAATTTGAACCTCCGACCTTACATCCATTGCATTGTCCCACAGTGGTAGTTATGTTCTTCAGCTCTATAAAGTCTGTTGGCTGGTTCAAACCCTTCTTTCTTAGGCAGATACTTAAAACATAAAGGTAGAGATTTCTCCTACAGTGTGTGGAGATCCAAATGCCCCTGTTTCCTCCACTCTGTATCACAGGCTGGCCCTGTGCTAAGCCCAAATTCGACAATTCTGGGAGCCAAAGCATCAGAGACCAGAGACGGTAGGAGATGTGTGCCTCCAGCAACCACTTATCTTCCTTTGGAACAGAAGACACTTGCGAGATTTCTGGCCCTGTTGTGGCCTAGGAGACGTAATAAGCGTGAGCCCATCTGTATGTGACGTGTTGATAGGTGATAAGTAGAGACATTGTCTTGGGTCATTCTGTTTTAGAACCTGTTTGAGATGTCACCAGGTTGAGGCTGAAAGCATGACTTAATGTTGGTTTTCTTATCTGGGGCATCATTTGGGTTAATACTGTTCTTCCCTTTTTAGGACACATATGTTAGGGGTGAAAAGTTCAGATAAAGGGAAGGATTTCATAAAGGGAACTTAAAAACTCAGAAGTTCATGTTAACATTTTCAGATTTCACTCGGGCCCAGAAATTCAAAGATGACATCTATGTAAGTGACTGGAGAGGTCTTTCTTATCATATAGAATAGCTAGGATCCTGGCTCTACCACCGACTCTCCGAGTGACCCTGTACCTCAGTCTCCTCATCTATCAAATGGAAATATGAATGAGCTTTACCTCAAAAGGCTGTTGAGAAGGTTAAATGGGAAAATACTCATACATATAAAATACTAAAATCTTTGCCTGGCACATAATAAATAAGCAGTCGAGAAGTGTTGGTTCATCTCTTTACTATAACTGTTGAGTATATTCTGTAAGGCTTCTAGAGATAGACATTTTATACAAATAGAAGCTTCATCTTTATTTCTGTTTATTTTTTTTCTTACAGGCATGGCTGTAAGAATAGGGAATAGGTCAGGGTGAGTGACGCTGTATGTGTACTGTAGGAAGACAGGGGTTTTGTTATAGAGTTAAGCAGTTGAGTGTTTTTGTTTTGTTGTAATTCTGAATTCCCAATTTAAAAATGTTTAGAGCTGCTCCGTCTCTCCCCATCTGTAATATATTAAGTATTGGGCCTGAGGAAGCACTAAAGATTGTGGAACTGAGTATCTCTTGAGGCCATGACTAAAGTCCCTTGCAATTCAGTGCTTAATTTCCTTGTATTTTACTTGGGGGCAAAAAAAAAAATCTATGACAGTTCTAAGGCAATTCTGAGATCAGTCCATTATATGTAATTCATCTACCCAACAGTAGAATAATGAATTTGAATAATTCATGGATAATCCATTTTTTGTTTAACTCCATCACCTTTTCCATTCCATGCCTAAAATGAAGGAAAACCTTTACTCCACGTGGTTGAAACCCGTGCATTTCTCTGGGGTGTGAGCTGTTACTATCATCAGTTTATAATGTACCCAGGAAAGCCAGCACATTTTTGATGTGAGGATTTGAAGTTTTTCCTTGTCTTGTTGGTAACCTCGTGTAATGAAAGTTACTATAGTAACAGAGAACCATTTTCTTTAGCCCTTAGAGTACCTTCAGCCGAAAAAAAAGCAAATCAATGTTGCAGCCATTATGCTTGTTTAAATCCTTAAAAAAAAATGACTGCATCTTAATTGAGCAAATGCTTCTTGGGAATTGTTATCAATAACAGACTAGTGAACTAAAGGGACGTGTTGTATTGCCTCTGGGTAGGTTTTTTTCTCCCAAAAGGCATCGCGGTTTTTTGCTCTTAGCTTCACATCGTGATAGTGGCACCAGTCTTCAGTGTCCTGTGGTGTGCCTGGCACAAGGCCATCTGCTGGAGACAACAGCAACACAGCAAGGTGGGCCTCACCCCGGCCTTCACAGCGTATGGCCTGTGTTGGGGGAAAGAAGACCAGAGAGAGACCTAGCTTGGTCCAGTGGGTCACAGAAGGCCTCCCCCAGGAAGAAACAATCGTGATATGATCTGAAAAATGAATAGGAAATCCATCCTAAAGGAGGGGAGGGATAGGGAGACGAACATTTCAGGCAGAGGACACTGTGTGTACAAAGACCTGGAGGGATGTGAATGTGCCTTTTCAGAAGTGGGGAAAGGCCAGTGTGGTCAGAGCAGGTGACTAGAGGACTCACACGAAATGGCGCTGGAGAGATTGGCTGGGCCTGAGCTATTCCAGGCCTCAAAGGACATGTTATGGATTTGAAAGGTCTCAAGGAAATGAGGCACATCAAATATTCATTGTTAAAGGTAAACTTGGGCTGCTGGTAGAAAATGAATCCATGGAGTTGGGGAACAAGAGGATTCTGGGAAAAAGTGTAAGGTTACTTCATGCAGGAGGCTGTGGTGACTTGGTTTGGGTGGAGGAGAGAGAAGTGAGCTAATTGAGTTAGATATTGGATGTGGCATCAACAGTGCTGGGCAGTGGATGAGGGGTATCAAGGGATGCCTCATAGGCTCCTGGTATGAGGAACTGGATGGATTGTGGTGCTTTTTTCTGGGGAAAGAACAGCAGAGGGGAAACATGATTGTTTGGAGGGTGTAGTAAAGGGATTCAGTACATAAATCTGTATTTTGTATTGAATATGTTGAATTCGAGGTGCTTTTAAGAAGCACAAATGCAGATATCAAGGAAGCATGTAGATTTATGAGTCCGTGTCAGAAGAGACAGCCAGCTAGAGAGGCACTCGGGAGGCATCTCGGTCTTAGTACCTTGGAGTGGATAAGTGCGTGGTTTAGGGTAGAATCCTGCAGAGCACAGCATTCAGAGTGTAGGAGCAGTTGCCTCCGCCTTGATCAATCCTATCCCCTCCTTCTCCCTCTCCCTCCATTCTCTGCTCATCTGTAAGTAGACACGTATAAACTCTGAGCTGTTAAGTGCCATTGACTAGGTACCGACTCATAGTGACCTTATGCACGACGTAACAAAACCGTGCGTGGTCCTACCTACCTCACAATAGCTGCTACACTTGAGTCCGTTGCTGCTGCCACTGTGCTAATCCATGTTGTTGGGGGTCGTCTTCTTTTTGTCTGACCCTCTGCTTTGCCAAGCATCATGTCCTTCTCCAGGGGAAGAAGTCTTGCCATCCTGGTTTCTAAGGAGGAGCATTCTGGTTGTACTTCTCTCAACACAGATTTGGTTTGGTTTCATTTTGTTTTTTAAGTTTTCCATTTAACATTTTTTATTTTAAAACTTTTATTGTGAATTAAGTGAAGGTTTACAGGGCAGATCATCAGTTTCACATTCAACAAATGATTGCAATACTTACAGTCCCCTCCATACACCATCAGCTAACAGTATTTACCTGTATTACTTTTTCTTTTATTTTTGGCTGTACACATACCACATTGAAAAGGTATATTCATTTAATTGTCCAAAGAGCATATTTTGCAAGCCTATCTTCAGGCACACTGCCTTTTTCAGTCCATGGGCCTATAGGTCTCTGCTGCTCTGTCTCTCTATGCCATCACCTCTGCCGCCATTCCTGTTGTTCCTGCTTTTCTGGTTAGGATCCCATGCTCTTCCCTCTTGATGGTCCTCCAACACCATAATTCAAGTGCATCAATTCTTCTAGGGCCTTCCTTATTCATTGTCCAACTTTCACATGCATATGAGTCTATTGAAAATACCAGGGCTTGGGTCAGGTGCACTTTAGTCCTCAAACTGACATCTTTGCTCTTGAACACTATAAAGAGGTCTTGTGCAGCACATTTGCCTAATGCAATATGTCATTTGATTTCGTGACTGCTGCTTCCATGTGTAGTGATGGTTGATCCAAGCGAAATGAAGTCTTTGACAATTCCAATCTTTTCTCCATTTATCTTTATATTATTCATTGGTCTAGTGGTGAGGATTTTTGTTTTTCTTTACATTGTGGTGCAACCAATACCAAAGACTGTGATCTTTGATCTTCATCAGTAAATATTTTAACTTTAAGCCCACAAGGTTGTGTCATCTGCATATTGCAGGTTGTTAATGAGTCTTCCTCCAATCGTGATGCCATGTTCTTCTTCATATAATCCAGCTTCTCGAATTATTTGCTCAGCATACAGATTGAATAAGTTTGGTGATAGACTGCAACCCTGGTGTACACTTTTGCTCATTTTAAAACATTCAGTGTCCCCTTGTTCTGTCTGAAGACTGCCTCTTGGTTTATGGACAGGCTCCTCATGAGCACAATTAAGTGTTCCAGAGTACTTATTTTCCACATGTTGTCCATAGCTTGTCAAGATCCACATAATCGAAAGCCTTTGCATAGCCAATAAAGCACAGGTAAACATTTTTCTCATATTCTCTGCTTTCGGCAGTGAACATTAAAACCAAAAAAACACAGACCCATTGCTGTCAAGTTGATTGACCCATGGCTGCCTCACGTGATACAGAGTAGAGTGGTTCCATAGCTCAGCAGTATTCTTTACAGAAGCAAAGCACCAGGCCTTTCTTCCGCTGTCACTGGGTGGATTTGAAGTACCAATCTTTAGGCTCATAAATGAGTGCAAACCCTTTGTACTACACAGGAAGTTGAGTAGTAGAAATAAGGATTAGCATTCAAATACATCCCCTTCCTTGACTGAAGATAGAGGAGCCATTGGTCACAAGACAGACCCCCATCCATTGTAGTGTTTGGGTATCTCTTCCATGGTACCAGCCATTGCCAATCTTTCAAAACTGATAATAACCATAATTCTCCATTTATGGTGTTTTGTGGTTGTCTGTTGTTGTTAAGTGCTATTGAGTCAGTTCCAACTCATGGCAACCGTGTAGGTTTTCTAAGGAGCAGCTGGTGGGTTTGAACCACCGACTTTATCGTTCACAGTCCAGTGTGCCACACCAGGACTCTTCTGGTTGTCTACTCAAGCTCATTCTATGCATGAATAAGAGGGTACGACACACCTTAGGCTCCTTTGTTACTTCTTTATCTATCGTCACCATTGTCATCAGTATGGTATTTGGGTATTTGAAGTTACCTGGGTGCACTGGGTTACCACCAGTTCAGCAGTTTGAATTCACCAGCCGCTCTGTGAGAGAACAATGAGGCTTTGTGCTTCCATAAAGATTTATAGCCTTGGCACCCCTCTACAGGGTCACTAGGAGTTGGAACCCACTTGGCACACAGCAGCAGCACAGCAGGACTGAATGCAGCTGGAGGAGTCCTGGTGTGGTGCTCTGGCATCAGCACTGGCCTGCTTGCATTCCAGCCCTGAGCTCAACAGCTCTTGATCCTCCTTCTCTCTCTTACCCACAGGAAGCCTTGGAGTCCTGCCAGACTCGCATTTCTAAGCTGGAGCTTCATCAGCAGGAGCAGCAAACCCAGCAGACAGACAGCATGAATGCCAGATTCCTCCTGGGGAAGTGCATCAACGTGATCCTGGCCATCATGACCGTCATCCTAGTCTGCGTGTCCACCATTGCCAAGTTTGTCTCACCCATGATGAAGAGCCGCTTCCACATTCTAGGCACCTTCTTTGCTGTGACTCTTCTCGCAATATTTTGTAAAAACTGGGACCCAATTCTGTGTGCCATAGAAAGAATAATAATACCAAGATGAAGCCACTGGTTTATTGCTGCCAGTCCTGTCAAATTTTTTTAGAGAAAACTTTGTGCATACTACCAAATTTTCATATTAACGGTTATGCCGACCGAAGACTGCAAGGACTTGGGCTGAGTGGGTGTAAATAACTACAATTCTGTAACTCAGTAGCAGCTGCCAATTTATTTCCTGTACTTGGTTAATGTGAATCTGTTTCTGAGTTCTCCATTGCTCATTGCCTTAATCAGACCAGATTTCCTGCTCACCTGACTAGCCCAGCTTGGTAAACTCTGTGATTGAGCAATTGACATAATTAGTGATCCAGAAGAAAAGGGACTTGAATTCTCTCACTTCTTTTACATTTCTGTAAACAATTAGTATCACCATGACGACTGGTTATACATGGAGCCCTGGTGTGGCGCTGTGGGTTAATGCGCCAGACTGCAAAGCCATTTGAACTGCAAGGTTGGTGGTTCAAACTCACCAGCTGCTCCTTGGAAACCCTATACAGGGTCGCTATGGGTTGGAATCGATTTGAAGGCACTTAACAACAATGGTTATACTGTCCCTCGGTCCTATAAGCTACAAACACAGAGCATAATTTGGAATGAAGAAACAAAGGAGTTGGCGATATTAATTCAACACTTGTGACCTATTGAAGTAGAATAAATCCCCACATAATCCATCCCACTTGTCCAAAGATGACTACATCTCATTATGTACTGTGTGTCCACGGTGGTCAACTGTGTGTAACTCTCTGTAACATGGAAATCTTAGAACACGCCTGTTTATCCAACAGAGCTTCTGCTGCACTTTAAGTGGCAAGACAGATTTATAAATGGGGCTTCCCCCTTCTTAATACTTAGGAAACCACATACCTGATATCATCTTAACTGGCTAGTGATTGTCTCACCTCCAAAGCACGCCAAAATACTGCCCAAACCCTCATCCAACCATGGCTTCCACATTAACTTGGGATCCTGTGGACATTCGGTTTGTGTTTTGGCAGATCTTAATTGTGATAAATCCTCCTGGCAGATGTGATTCAGTCAGTGTGATCCACGCGATTCACAAGTTTGTGAGGAATTGCACAACTTAGTATACTCTGATAAAGAAAAGCAAACGTGACCTCTGTAGCTGGTGATTTTTTGTTTGTTTTTTCTTTAACGAAAGCAACAAAATCAGTTCATAAAGCAAAAGTGCACTGTGGTAGTCAGCACAGGAAGCATGAGGAAAACAGGACCCTGGCCCAGCTGGATGGTAACTAGATTGGTGGGAGCTCTTCAGCTGAAGGAAGACTGAGGGGGCACTCTTATGGAAGTGGGCGATCAATGAGAATAAACTAAATTTAACTTGGTATTTGAGCCAAGACTGGCATCTGTCTCTTATGATCCCACTGAAAATAAGTTGAGAGCTAAAAAGATGGCCACATTTCCACTGAACTGAAAGCTTCCAAAAATTTGGCCTGTTTGGGGAATGTCATACTGTCTTCATTCCTGGAGATACTTTCCTTTCATTATGTTTCTCTGTGTACAAAAAAGAAGACATAAGACGATTGAATGAGAACTGTTATTAGTCAGTCCCTCCTCCTGCCACTCTTCCGTTCTCTGAAAGCATGTTACACAGAGGCATGTTAGTATACATTTTCTTCCAATAACATTAAATCTTGCACGGATTTACAGTAAGTGCAATATTTTGCAAACAGCTGCTCTTAGGGAAATCGCCTGAAAAAAAATGTGACAGAGTGTGCCATGATTTGAAAGAATGAAATCGTTTAGTATTTAGTGCAATCTGGGTGTGCCCGAGAGTCACTCATCTCCAACTTTCTTTTTGTTTTCTAAGTGTATAATAATCCAGTGGTTTTTTTAGTTTATTCATAAATTTGTGTAACTGTCACCATTGTCTAATTCCTGAATCAAGCTTTTTAAAACAATAAACGTAATTTCCATGAAGTCTTTTCGTTATTAGTTATTTTTGCTTTAGGGGAGAGGGAGTTATGGCTTTGACCCCTCTCCTTGGCAGAACTGCCACGTGGCTGCCCACACTGGCTGTATATACACCGTGACCCATCCCACCTGGGGACTGGGAGAAGCATGGTGCGCCCCCTGTGGCTGATGCTCCCCTTCATGTGGGGCCTCAGTCTGCATGTAGGCTAAGGACTGATGGCGTACAGTCCGGCTAGATTCTGGGACTCCAGGCTATCTGAAAACCCTTCTGAGGGACACTTTAGACGACTCCACAGCACATAACAACAACAACAAGGGGCGAGTGTGGGTGTAGTCTGCTATTCCTTTAGGAAGCGGGAGTGAGGTTCCCTGAGGATCCAAACAAACTTGGGCTTTGTTCCCTTGTCGCCACTCCACCCGGTGGTCACTCATCTAACAAGTATGTTTGTTGACATTTCTCACACCTGTGGTCCGTGTTTTGTTGTCCCACTGAGGAAATCGAGTAAGAAAGGGAAAACACACAACATACTCCCCAATCTGGTACTGTTCCAAGAAACTGGTAGAAATTGCCTCCTTTCTATCCTACAATAGTTTCAGGTTAGAATCAAGGCAATTTCTACCAGATTCTGTTAACAGCTTCAGGTGTGGCCCCATACGATAAGCACTGGATTGCAAACCATAGCTCTCCAGCCGCACTGCACAGAAGAAACATGAGGCTTTCTGTTCCCATGAAGAACTTAAAGCCTCGGAAACCTATAACAGGGTCGCTATGAGTCAGAACCGATACATTAGCACTTAATAATCAACAACAAACCATCCTACGTAATAGTGGATTCCTTTTATTCCCCCTTGTTTTCAGTGACATGCATCCAAGCTCAAATAACCATATTTTCTCCAGGAGTATGCTCATGCATAGCATATATATTTTAAATAGAGATGGGGAACTTTTTTCCGCCAAAATTTATAATATCATTCATGGACCATACAAAATTATCAATTTAAAACTTACCCTGCTATATTTGGTCAAACATTTAATTAACTCATCCTTAATGTGATGGCTGGATTCCTGGCGTGGAGCTGTAGGATCAGCATTGAACTGCAAATCACAAGGTCAGTGGTTCAAACCCACCAGCTGCTCCTCGGAAACCCCACACAGGGTCGCTATGAGTTGGAAGTGAGTTGATGGCACTTAATAACAACAATAAATGTGATGACTGAAACTACGGTTGCCTTGGTAGGGTCAGACCAAATGATATCACGGGCCTTAAGTGGCCCATGGGCCAGACGTTCCCCACCCCTTTCTTAGTGACTTATTGAAAGTTCATGAAGCATTTTAGTGAGAGGAGATACTCCAAGGGTATCTTCATCTTTTATTCTTGCAGTTTATTCTTCTCTGCGTAAGGAGAACACCCATCCACTGCTCACTAACTCTTCTCTGTGTAAGAAGATAAAGGGAAACTTGGTAAGGATACAGTTTTAAGATAATGCCATAGCTCTGACATGTTCTGAAATGGGCTGTTTCATCAACATTAGCTCATCCTCTTCATTTGTGCCAAACATCTAGTGCATATCTAAAGATAAAGACTAGTTGTATTTGTTTTCTAGAACAGCCGTAACAAAATACCCCAAACCAGACATTTATTGTCTCACATTTCTAGAGACTGTCCAAAATTCAGGTGTCAGTGGGTCCGTGCTCTCAGAAAGCTCCTGGGGAAACTCTTGACTGGCAGCTTCTGGTGGCCCCAGGCATTCCTTGGCTGTTAATGTCAACATGTCTTCTTCACATGACCATCTGCTCTCGATGGCTGTGTCTCCTCTTATAAGCATACCAGTCGGGTTGGTTGAGGGCCCACCCTACTCCATGTTTCCAAAGTACATCTGCACAAACCATTGTTCCAAATAAGGTCACATCCACAGCTACCAGGGATGCAATGCAACCCCTGGCAGATATGTTAGCCCTGTCACTCTGAGAACATTACAGAGTGATTGCAGAATTGAAGACACTGGAAACTGAATTTCAGCACTGGGGTTCTTGGTGATATGTTATTTTCATGGTCACCAGGAAAATGACAGTTTCCTGAGAGCATAACAAAATTCTAAAAATACTTGCCTGTGGGTTTTTTATTGGTTATTTCAGCTCATATTTTGAGTATGATTAAGTCAGAATAAAACAAACAAAAAAAACACAATGAAACAGTAACTAAAACATTCAGCTGCTGAATTTGGACCATAGAAGTAGAATTGTCTTAAGATTCTGGTAGGGACCCCTGGTGGTTTAGCTTACCTGATCCCTGTGACCGATTGGTAGACTGTGGTCTTCTGAAACACCTTTTCTTTTCAGCCCAGGATGTTAGAATCCTCTCTGTCAGTTTTCTGTGACTTGAGCTCATCTTCTGCTTTGTTATTTTAGTTTTCATTGAATTATTGCCCTCACTACCATGCTTACTGCCCTGCATTTCTTCTGCATGTTGTTATTGCTAAGTGTCGGCAAGTTGGGTCCAATTCATTTGTTGTTGTTAGGTGCTGTCGAGTCAGTTCCAACTCAGTGACACTGTGCACAACAAAATGAAATACTTCCCAATCCTGTACCAACCTCACAATTGTTATTATACTTGAGCCCATTGTTGCTGCCACCAGTCCGTCTTGTTGGGGGTCTTCCTTTTTTTACTGACCCTCCATTTTACAAGCATGATGCTGTTCTCCAGGGATTGGTCTCTCCTGATAGTATGTCCAAAGCATAAGAAGTGAAGTCTCCCCTTCCTGGCCTCAAAGGAGCTTTCTGGTTGTACATCCAACACGGATTTACTTGTTCTTTTGGCAGTCTATGGTACTTTAAAATATTCTTCTCCAACACTGTAACTCAAATGCATCAATTCTTCTACAGTCTTCCTTATTCATTGTCCAACTTTCACATGTGTATGAAGTTATTGAAAATAACATGGCTTTAGTCAGGCACACCTTAGTTCTGAAACTGACTTACAGTGACCTTTTACATGGTTGTTGTTGTTGTTTGTTGTGATGTGCCGTCGAGTCGGTTCCGACCCATAGCGACCCTGTACAGGGTTTCCAAGGGTGTAAATCCTTACGGGAGTAGAAAGCCTCATCTTTCTCCCGCGGAGTGGCTGGTAGTTTCGAACCGCTGACCTTAAGGTTCGCAGCCCGATTCATAACCACTACGCTACCAGAGCTCCTTTACATGGTTACTGAGGAGCAATCGGTGCATTTGAACCACCAACTGCAATTCAAAGCAACTTTGTAGTCCAGTGTTTATCCTACAGCACCACCGAGGACTCCATATTTCTCCTACATGTCAGGTTTAATTATGGGTTCAATTACACCATCTAGAACTAGCTCCCCTTGAGCAATGAATTACTTTTGTCCTTTTTGGTTCAGTTAGAAATTCCAAATTATTTTGCATTGAATGGAGACATTTTAATAAATTCAATTCAAATTT